AAAATGTATATTTGTGGAAGAACTAACACTGAACTCAGTTCAAAGGCAGGACAGCTAGAATTCATTCTTGGCTTTAAAACCCATGGTTGCACCATGGGTAAATCACTTAAATTCTTGGATGCAGGGCCTTCGTCTAGAAAAACCCAGTGGGCCCCAAACTCCTCCAGTGGAGGACTCTGCCTACTTCATTCATTCACTACAACATCCCAGCCCACTACCGTAGGCCCAGATGTATAACAGAGGGCTGGGGAGGCGTGATGTACAGACTTCATCACATAACAAGTGACAAAGAAATGCTTTGTCAGAGGAATGAATGAGCAGGAAAAACATGATGAGCACCAATATGGAGAACACAGAAGTCCACCCTCGGACCAAGGCTGAGAGTTCGTAAAGACTGAGGGCCAGGGATAGAAAGAATCGGCCAGCTTCCTCAGATGCCACATGCAGAGAGCATCATGGCGGACTGGTTAAAGTTGGGCAAGCCTAGAAGTCTGATTCAGAGCTCAAAATGATAATCATCCTTCTCTGTTATCTGGTGCCTGACTTTGTAGTTTGGTTGCAAACTACGTTTCATCCCAGCTGATGAGACTGTCAAAATCCCAGCCAGAGAATGAAGCCACCCTCTCCCCAGTCACCTCCAACTCACAATGGGGTTGCTCTCACATCCCTCCCAACATCTCTTGCTGATAATTCCAGAAACATTTATAGCTACCACCCGAGTATATTTTCTTTCTTTGGCTAAACTACAATTTTGCTATTTACAAAAGTGAACAAATGGAATGCAAATGTGCCCCTTTCCTTTCCTATATTGTTACCACTCTCCTTCTGATCTGGAACGGGAAAAGGTTGCATCTATGAGAACACTCGAACTTAATGTATAATCAAAAAGAAAAAGGGGTTCTCTGAATTACTGAAGGGGCAGAAACACAGTAACTTTTTAATCTACCCCAACTGTGATCTACCCCTTTCCATGATCCTCCCATCCTGTGCTTCCCAAACACACAAACAGTTCCTTCTTCAGAGACAATGAAAAAGCAAAACTGTCCTCTCTTTGTAGGTATTTAACATCTTAAATTGCTCCCTGAGAAAGTTCAAGGCAGTAGATAGTAGGTCAGAATTTCAGATAATTATTACTTACTGTTAAGTTTAAAGAAGAAAGGATTGCATTGGTTGAAAGCACTAGCCTTTTTCATGAGGAAAGATGAGAGTGGAGATTTATGATTATGATCTCACAAATGATGAAGGGTGTGCAGCAAGGAAAGACAGATTTGTTCCCTGAATCCTGACATACCAGAACTAAAGGGATACAGTAAGAGTCAAAGGAGGCGCCTGTTTGCAAATCTGTTTTGAATTTCCCGGTTTGCTGCAGGGAATCTTGGCAATCCCAGGATCCCAGAAGTTGCTGAGGCCAAGGGAAGTCACGTGCATTGGAATTCCCTCTCTACCACCTGAGCCACCTTGAGCAATTTAACCTTTTTGAGCCTCAGTTTGCTCTAATGCAAAATGATGATGAAATCTAGATGAAAGGATCACAATCAGGACTCAACAAGAGAAACAGCCCCAGATGGAGCCTTAGGATTGTGCGTGCCCATAAACACCAGCTCTCCTTGCACGCTGGACTTGCCTTTTCTCCCCAGCCAGTAACTTGAACATGTTATTATCAGTCTAGCTGTTATTGCTCCCAAGAAGGTTCAGTTGAAAATTCTGCATGGCTGGAGTGGGGTTGGAGGAGTTTAGTTAAATATGCAAATGGTAGATAAAGTTTGGGTTTCTCATGAACTCCTCTGGTTGGGACCCTGCTCCAGAAGCTGGCAGATAGCAGGACAAGCCAGGGGCAGAGACACAGGAGGGTCATCCTACTGCTCTATTTGATCCCTTTGGACTTCTGCAGAGCCCCCTACAACGCTATTCCTCATTAATACAAACTTTCCAAGTCCTTTATTAGTTGTCTGAATAGCTAACATACTTTATTAATTCCAGTTAAAATGTTAATGGACAGTAATGACTTTTAATTTGTTGCCACTCCCATATGAACTCCTACGTTTTAACCCAAGCATTCAATGACTCCATCTAAAGAAATGGCTATGGGAGGACTCCCCATTTCTTGGGAATCTAAGGCAGAAAAAGGACTTGCAGAAACAGAGGGCTCAGGGGGAGAAGGGGGCTCTATGGGGCCCTTGGGGCAGTTTGCATCACAAGCTTAACATTTGCTGCCCATCCAATCATTCTTCCTCTTTTCACATTCCAGGAACAAACACATTTTTCAGAGATAGCAAAGATCACTGTCAAAGTAGCTGGCCCAAGAGGATTCCAATGAAAGGGCTCAGAGACAGGATCTATGGTCAACACAAGATCCCCGTCATCCTGTCAATGACTCCCACTGCAAGAAGAGCCTCTCTGTTACTTTGCTAGCTCTAGACAAACAGGGCTCTGAGGGCCTGGGTACAAGGCTTTCTCTATAAAGGAAATACAAGTTTCACCATCTTCTGGCCGCACATAACGACTCTCCCCTGGTGGGTACAGAGGATTACAGAGTGCCAAGAATGAGAGCATGAGCCACCTAACAGAAAACTGAAACAGTTTCTTTTGCACCTATGCTTTTAGCAATGAAGTTTGTCCGACCTGATAAATGTAGGATCACGGTAGTACTTGATGACATCCTGCATACCAAGAGTGTAGGTGATTGAAAGGCAGAAAGCAGGGAAGAAAGATGCTAGAGGGCTTCTTGCTTTTGGGGATGATCTTCCTAATCAATTAGAAGCTAGTCAGGAAACCCTACCTCTCCATAGCCCACATACCCTGTTATAATTAGTTACTTGAGTACCTTCCTCCTGAACTGTGAGCCACTAGAGGGCAGGAAATGAGGTGTCTCTTGGTATCTCTAGCACCTACCACAGAACCTGGCACAAATGAGATGAGCAATAGACAGTATGGAGTGATGGAGTGACTAGAAAGAGGGGTGACTGAGGGAGTGATCTGCTGGAACCAGGTATTCCTGTTCTTACCCACTCTTATTCAGCTATCCAGCCACTCATCTCAAAAATGAAACACAAAATGGTAACAGCTCACACCTCCTGAGCCACCTGTCAAGCAGGATAGTGGGAAATAACGAGGCACTCAGAAAACTGGGAAACAGGCTGACCGGAACACACGGGCAGCCAAACTGATGGGAGACCCTCTTTGGTGTCTTGTCCCTGCCTCTAGCTGATAGGGAGAGCGATGTCCCACACTGTGCTCAACCTCAGCGTCTCACACACCCACCCACTCCCAAATGTGATAAGAAGCAAAGATGCATGGGCTTCTCAAGGGGCTGGGAAGGAAACAAAGCGCTGTGCTGTGAGCTGGTAGTGCCCTCTGGGGGAAAGACATCTTCTCCTGGCACGCAAAGGAGGCTGAGGCAGAAATGCCTCCACCCCTCCGCACTGAGAACTCCCCCTACAGAGGTGAGCTCATCCCGCCTCCCAGCCCAGCGTCAGCGAAGCCCAGCACACCCCCAGCTTGAAAGCTTTCCTCCTACTCCCCCTTCTTACACAACAAGAGGCAGAAGCACTCCAAGCACAGCCGGCACTTCACTGGAAAATGGAAAAGGCTCTCTTATGTCTCCATGTGGCCCTGGAAAGACTTGGCTCCTACCAAGGCGCCCTCCCCAGATCCCTCAGTGTGGTCTTGGGGACACTGCCAACCTGTTACTCCCCTTCAGGTGCAGGTGCTGGCCAGGCCATTAAGACATCCACGTAGCTTCTCCAGTAAGACTGGGGCCCTTCATAGGCCAGACGGTCATTTCTGGAAAGTTACATTTCCCGATTTCTGGAATTGTTACAATTACAGCCAGGAAAAGAATTTAAAAAGAGGTAATTATGCAATTCCAGTAAAACTTCATGGGGCCCTTCCCACCCCAGGCTAGCGGTTGGTGTGAAATGTCATTGGAGCTGAACTGTCCAAGCCTGGGTAAGAATAAATGTTCTGCATGGGAACATTACCCCTTTGGGGAGCTATATTTTTCTAGAAGGCTTTTGATCAAGAGAGCAGAGAGGTTTTGATTTTGCTTATGGAGGGCAAGAGTTGGTGAGGGGATAAAGCCCTCCTAAAGTCAGCTCCTCCAGGACAGAGGCAGGCTGGGCACTCAGTCTGCCATTGTAGATACCACAGCAAGTCCAGCGGGAGCCCAGGTTCCTAACCAGGACTTCAAGCCCTTTGCTAACTCGGAGCTACGGTCCCTGTCTCAGGCTATAACTGGCCCAAGATGACTGCCTGGAGGAGGTGGTTTTTCGCGGGCTCAGCACCTCGCTCACAAGTTTCAATCAGCATCTCCACCGAAGTTGGCCTGTTTTGGGCATTTCTTCTCCCCTCCCTTCTTCCCCCTCTGCTAATTCGCCAACTGCTGAAACGTCTGTCTGGCGGAAACTGCCTCCTTGCCGCGCGCTGGGGGCTGTCCCCAGGTGTTGGTCTTTGTGTAGAGAAAACTTTGAGAGGAAGCGAGGGCGCTGGACAAAGAGCTATCGGGGAGGACGTTTGCCAGCCAGCGGGGTGCCCTGGGCACTGCGCGCGCTTCCCTGGGCTCAGCTCGCCCGTCGCGCTCGGTGCCCCGAGCCCAGCCTTCCTAGGCCGGGAGTGGCAGCCTCCTCGCGCCCTCGGGAGCTGAAAGAAGCCAGGCGGGCGAAGCCTAGGCGGGCGGCTGGACGCTGGAGTTGGCGGGAGGAGGCGAAGAGAAGCGCGGAGCAAAGCTGTCAAACTGCGCGCGGAGCCGGGCGCCGGGCGGGGGGAAGGGAGGGGACGGG